TATATATATATATATATATATATGTATTTCCTGTATGTATTCTCTTTAATTGAAGGATTTCTTAATGAATTTTAAAAATACGTGTATATCAATTTAGCATCAGTAAAACTACCGCCCACATCAAGACATAAAACATTTATTTTACATATGAACACCATGTTATTTACCACATAAAAGTCTCTTAACTGTTACATCCTGTATTGTGTGTTTTGTATATGTAAAGTATCTTATGTGCTTGGATTCTATATAATAAAAATGTTGCTATTTCTGTGACTTATAGTTTCCATTAGATTCATATTTTTCAATTCTACTTTTCCATGAACGTCTTGAAGTACCGTAGTATTCTTAAACCCTTTTATCCTTTGTTTTATACAAATGTATTACAGATTAGAGACTGATTTTTGACCCAATTTGAATCTTTTTAGTAAGAATATCTAACACTTTTTAACTGTACCTCTGTCAATCTGTTTTATGCTATTTTAATATTTTAGTTTTTCCTTGATGTTTTTCTTTCGCTATGTTATCTTGGTTTTTTTTTTTTACCACTTCCTCTCCAGTCCAAAATATTGGAATGTATATGTTTTATTTTTGTCTGTAATACTTATCTCAGTGTCAAATTTATTTATGAACTACTGTATGATGCAGTAACTATTATTTTTCCCCGTGTAATACATACAAAAAACAAGATTATATCTGTTCCCCTCCCCAATTAGTGATTTGGAAGTTTTCTTTTTGCACTATCAGTATTTACATTGTAGACAAACTTGCTACTTTTTATTCTCTGAAGTAAACAAAATAAAGTGAAACTGTACTGTTTTCTGATTTTGTCAGATAACTTTTAGAATGCCTTTCCTCTACTTGTCTTGTCCATAGTGATAAAGCCATTTTATTTTACTTATGTTTAGCTTAAGAATATGCATATCTTTATCTACAATACTACATGCTAAAAATAAAACTACTTATTTGCCCAATATATCAAACATATGGCATGCCCTTTCACAGTTTTAAACTATGTAAATTGAAGTTTTAGACCCAGCTTATAAATCTATTTTTGTATTTATTACTCTGTATATAACAATTTAAACTTAATGCTCCTGAACTTGTTCTAATGCTTACCATTAATTCTTTTAGAGAGTTGCCTCCCTACTCTTGAATTACTTTAGTTCATGTTCTCTGTTGGCTGCATTTAATCATTCAGCACATTTTTCAGGGAAGGTTACTGGTTGACATACTTTCTTAATCCCTGCATATTTGAGAATGTCTTTTAATTTCCTTTGTACAGAAATGATAATTTGGCAGGGAGTATAATTCTTGGTTCAAAATTAATTTTCTTTAAAACTCTGTAGATATTGTTCCATTGCCTTCTAGCGTTTAGAGTTGTAAGAGAAAAATCTGAGGTCAGCCTGATTTTCACCCCTTTACAGGTAGATACTTGTAGAATTTTTTCTTTATCCTTGAAATTTAAAAACATCACCAGAATATGTCTAGGTGTTGCTTTCTTTTTGTCAAGTTTTAAAAGTACCCAGTGTACTTTTTCCATTTGTAAATGTAGTTTGCATTTCAACTCTGGGAAATTTTCTTCAGTTAGTTCCTTAATTACTACTACAGCTCCATTTGCTTTGTACTCTGTTTCAGGTATTTGTATTATGTGTAGATTATATTTCCTAGATTGGACCTGTAGGTCTTTCTTTCTCTACTCTTATCTTGATTCCCCCCCCCCCCCCCCCCCCCTTTTTTTTTGACTTTCTGTGAGATTTTCTCTTGTTCTGCAAGTACTTCATTCAGTAATTTGATTTTGTGGACAGTCTGGATTGTACATTTCTGTTAATTAACTCTCTCAACTCCCTTTTTGTTTTCATGCTTTCTGACCTTACTTTATTATCGTGTATGGGTTGTTAAGCCCCTGTATTATATGATTCTTAACACCTTTTTACATCTTTTGTTTCCACTGCTATATCCTTTACAAGAGGAGGCATTTTTTCGATTACTCAGCTCTGTTCTTTTCTTCCGAACGGAAGTATCACAACCGTTTCAGTAGTTCTTAGCGATGGGGACCAAAAACAAAGATTCCTTTTATACTGTTTACTAAACTCCTGGGCATGTTATGGATAGAACTCTTTCCTGTGTTTGTTATTCCAATGGAAATATGGTTTCATATTGTGGTCTTCTATGTTCATATATGTGGCATCCCCCAGAGAACTATGAAATGTGCCTGCCATGCAGACTGGACTGAGGATAACCTCAAAGAAGTCTATACAGGCAGGGTAGGTCAGATATGTTTTGAATTTGGTTTTCTGTTGGCTGGGTTTTTGAATTTAAATTGACTGAGGTAGCTTTTAAATAGTTTTATACTTATATGGAATTAGAGATTATGTTGATTTGAATACTTTTGAATTGGGATTGTCTTGACTAAGGCTTAGAGCAGACTTGCAAAAGCAAGTGAAATGTCTCTTATAGGACAAAATGAGAATACAGTATGAATTTTAGGTAAGAGGAACTCCTTATGAGCAGTTAGAGCTTCGCACTATTTTCATGTCAGTGGAGTTTGGGTTCAAGTGCTGTTCTTTTTAGTTTGTTACTTAGAATTGATGGCTTTTTGTACCTTCACTTGTGATTAGAATTCCTTCCTTCAAAGCGTTCCCCTCCTTTTTTGTATTTTTTTTTGTTTGTTTAATAGGGTGGGTGATGTTAATGACTCGATAAACGTTCTTGGGATTTGCAGAATGTGTACTTTAGTATCACAGAATTTAAGTGGGGTTATTTTAATTTTGAGTAATCTCAGAATCATTTTTGTGTTGTGCTTTGCCATTAAATAGAAATCCTAGATTGACTTTGTTTATTGTCTTTATCAAGTAGGACTCCATCTCCTCATTTGGCATAAAGTAGACTTGAAACTCTAGCTGTTGGGGTACTGTCTTTTAGGAAGTGTGAATAACCGATCTTTTATTTTATCCTTCTATTTGCTATGTACATAATGTTATTTATGAAAGCCTAAGATTCTTCTTAGTATTACTCCATTTGGTGTTTTCAATGATATTTTAAAAGGAAAATTGCAGTCATGTAACAAAGTTGCTTTTACATTTGTTTAAATGAGAAAAATCTAAGCAGTAACCAGTTCTAATTTTTATTTCCTACAGTTTATCTTAGTATGTACACTGGTCTACTAACTTTCTTTTTATTAAGGAGTTGTAAACCTAGGGCATGTAGATAACTACTTGATCTACATGCATGTAAGATAATTTAAAAATGACAAAAGTAAAAAGCAAAGTTGAGAGTTTCTTTCATTAATCATATGATTAAAGCCTAAGAGTTATGCATGTGCTGAATTAACACAATTCTTAAATTTTCTGCTTTTGTTTTTCTTTAAAAAAAAAAAAATAGGATGATGATGCTGAAGCTATCCTTGCCGCAGACTTTGAAATTGGTCACTTTTTACGTGAGCGTATAATCCCGAGATCAGTGTTATACTTTACTGGAGAAGCTATTGAAGATGATGATGATGATGATGTGAGTGAATTTGAATCCTGCAGTGAAATAATTTGGTGAGGGTACCGTAGTCAGAATTGGTAAGAAGTTAGATTTTTAGCTTTTTTTTTTTTTTTTCGTGTCCGGCAACGGATCGCATCCCTCAGTGTCGCGCCCGTACCAGACCGGGACCGGCAACAGGATCGCAACCCTCGGTGCTGCGCCCGCACCTCGCTCAGCCAGTGAGCGGGAACCGGTCTGTATGTGGGATCCGAACCCTTGGTGGGAGCGCCGCTGCGCTCCCAAGCGGCGCACTGTAGCAGTGCACCACCGGGCCGGCCCCAGAGGTTAGATTTTTAAAAAGCAGGACATAGAATAATTTAAAATTAGCCTAATGACTGATGTCCTGTTGACAGCCTTCCAGAGTTTTCTGAGTAGGCCTCCTTAGGATCTTTGGATTCATTTGTCTTAGTTTTAATTTTTCTGCTAATAGGAAGACTATTCTATTAATTATTCTTAATTATTTAAGATTAGCGGCGCACTGTAGCAGTGCACCACCGGGCCGGCCCCAGAGGTTTAGTGAAACATTTTTGTTTGGTTTTATAGATCTCCTATGCTCTTGCCTTTGATTACACAAAACCACTAGGACTTCTTTAGTGATAAGATAACATTTATTAGGAGGCATGCAATTTTTATCCAAGGGAAAATAAAATTATGCTGCCCTTAAATGTTTTGGATATCTTTCTTCCTAAATGGCAATCCTTAGAATAGGCTTTAGGCACTTTTGTGCAATGTGTTTCACACATAAATACAGGCGAGTAATATTTACAGTAAGTTATCTGATCACACTTTATCCACATGTACTATGTTCTTTATTTTGATTTTATAAATTATCAGCTTTTAGATAATGGCACTGAGATGAGCGATTCCTGCATCTAATGCATGTTTTAATTTATAATCAGTCACTTTAGGGGAAATTTTTTTTTCTTTTTTTAGATATATATACAGTGATGGATGTTACTAATGTTATTCTCAAATGTGTGTTGTATTCATTCACACTTACCCTGTTTTCCTTTTTCAGTATGATGAGGAAGGTGAAGAAGCGGATGAGGTAATGTTTACCAAATGAGCAAATAATTCTGTGTTTAACGCATTGAGAAGCAAGTTGAGTGACTTATGTATTCCTTTGCTATAATCATTATTCTGTGATTTGGGATAAAAACATTTCGGAAAATATGATTTTAGAATTCTACAGCCAAACAATGTATGTATAAGGTTTCAATAAATAAATTGCAAAACTCAGCAACATTTTTTTTTTATTTCAAATAATTTTGTTCTGCTGCAGGGTTATCAGCTCTTTGAAGAAGTCAAAAGCTGCAGTAAACTTTTTCAACGTTGGCTGCAGTAAAACTTTTCAATAAAAGCTGTCTGGATATCTCGAGTTGTGTTGGGAAATTTTTCATATTAGAAACTTTCAAATTAAATTGTATTATCACCAAACTCTGTAATCATGAAAATCTGTTGATCTGTAGAGTAACTTGTATAAATTTTCCCTACATTATGAGCCAGTTTTTCCTACTATGTACCTACTTCATGGATGCATTTTGAACTTTAATATAGGAAGGGGAAGAAGATGATGAGGAAAATGATCCAGACTATGACTCAAAGGTGAGCAAAATGAGTGCTGCTTTCTATTAGATTTAAGGCAGGCTAAAAGTAAGAGTTGGTATTTTTGGATATAAAGTTTATTTTTCTCCATTAAAGTCTTTAATAAAGCCCATTGACTGAATAACTTTATTTTTTCTTTTTCCAATCCCTGCTGGCATTTTGAACGGTACACATAATTTCAGTGCACCTTTCCTAAGAAATGTTGTTTTTGGTTCTTTGTATTTTTGATAGTTTCACGTTAATTAAACCCTGGGATTCTTTTAATGGCACATTTTGGGTATTTTTTACAGTTTTTAAGCATTAAAAAAGATTTTCGCTTGTGTTCTTAGACTGTTTTCCCTCCAAAGGAAAGCTTATAAGCAAAGGTCAGTTCTTAAAAGATCCTGAATGCAGGAGTGCTCGGTGCTGTTTGTTAGATTCTCCCAACCACCTGTATTCATCATTGCCTTAGATTCCCAGTCTTTTATTTGTGGGAATTTGTTGTATCTGGGTTGAAAGGCCTTTTATCTCCCACAAAATATGTAGTAAATTATCAGGATTCATTTGAAACTTTGCGTTTCTCTTTAGTGTGTTCATTCATTAGCTAAGTGCTGTAAAATATGCAGAAAATACGTCAACCTAGTGAGCAAGTAAGAAAACGTAATTTGAAGTCAAATGAAATACTCTGTTATGAATTACTCTTAACAGCTAAGTATGAATAGAATTAGTATATTTGAATAATCAATAAAAAGGCAAAAATCATTGATAATATGATTAACAAATTGCTTGGTAATTTTATTTTTTAAGATTATGGTTTAGTGTGTGTTTTATGGCGTTAATTTTACAATGTAAAGTGTGGGATTTAGTTTAGCATTTCAGTGACTTGCTAATATTTGAATAAATAATTTGCCATCATTGTTTTATGCCATTTCCTTAATTTGGCAAAACAGGGAGATAGTGTAATAACTAAGTTAATTACTTTTGAAAAATTCACAGAAGCAGGTAGAAGAAGATAGATTGACTTGTTGTTTTCCTTTAACAGAAGGATCAAAACCCAGCAGAGTGCAAGCAGCAGTGAAGCAGGATGTATGTGGCCTTGAGGATAATCTGCACTGTAATAGCCTAAACACAACTATTATTTACTTACAGCCTTATGTTTTTGTATTTTCTTCGTAGACTCAGTTATTTTTTTTAAAGAAAAGGAACTGATATTTTAAAAACCAATTTGTTCTACCTAGCATTTTAAGTATAGTTTTCTGCCAGATATGTTGAATGTAGAAATTCTCTCACACATGTTCATTTATTGCTACATAGTTTGGTTCTCCTGGAATATTTTTATCACATAGCTATAGGAATACAGCTATGAAAATTAACAGCTGTTAAACACATTTTTTGTTTTGCTGTTTTTATCCCTGAAGAAACAAAGTATTTCTTCAGCTGGTAGTTGAATGAGTTTAAGTTTGCTTGCATTAGCTGTGTCTTTCATTACTTTGTTAAGACATGGAGTGACTTAGACGATATATCATTAAAAAAAAAAACTTGGCAAGGCATCTGTATGGTTAAGAATTTCCAGTAAGACCATGCTCAATAACTTTCAAGATTGTTAATGAATTTTTGTATTTTAGGTGACAGTTTTAAATATTAAGAAACCTTACTCACAATATGGTTATTGACACCACAGGGAGGTGAATAAAACCTAGGATTTTTAGAAGTTAGCCTGATATTGTTTAACTGTATTTTAAAATTTAACCTCCATTGACTAAGCATCTTTCTTTGTGGTAGGGTCTACCTTCTTCTTCCCTGGAAAGGATGAATTTACATCATTTGACAAGCCTATTTCAAGTTTTTTGTCATTTGTTTGTTTGCTTGTTTTTGTTTTTTGCAGCCTAAAATAAAAATGTCAAATACAATTTTAGTTCTCACAAAATAATGTCTTAATTTTGTACTAATTCAGGGAGAAGCAGAGAGGCCTAGTTTGAATTAAGGGTTGTACCCAGCTTACCATATTATTAAAGAAAAGGGTGCCAACTTTAGAAGAGGTACTACATCCACTAATAAGCAAGTGTAGAAAAAAAAAAGACACTCTTAAACGATGTGATGCTTTTTTAAAAAGAAAAAAGTTAAATTTTATTTCATTTGGGTTAGAACTAGAGAGAAGGTCCGAAACCACTATGGTTTATTATAATTCTTATTGCTTAAAAGTATTAGTATGTCATTTACCCATTCTTCTGTTTACTATGTATTAAAATGGGTAGTACTGTTTACTTAACTACCTCACAGATGTATTAAGCATATAATGTTGAATTTCATGAAATGTTTCTCAGTTTCATTAAAAGCTCATAAATTTGGGCCTATTTGTACCACAGGTGTGATAGTGGGCATCTTATTCACACCAAGCTTTGATAATTAAACTGGAAAACAAAGGTTAAGTACCTCTGTTCTAGATCTGGGCAGGCAATACTCTTTTCAGATCTTTGTGTGGCTCCCTATTTTAGTAGAATTGGGTGGACAGTGAACTATTTCAGAAGGTCCAAGAATTTTTTTTCAGGCATTTTAGATGACCTTATTGTAGTAAATACATACAGATCATGGGACTAAAGTGGAAATGAGACCCTTTTTTGTGGGGAAAAAGTGCCATGAAGTTTGAGACTGTAGAGCCACATTTAAAATACCTCAGGCTAATTACTGTTAATTTTTTGCAACGAGCTTCTTTTGACAGTGAGGGCGGAACTAATTGGATTGTTAATTAGAGAAAGGTCTAGAGTTCCTGCTCTTAGTAAAATTACATTGAGTTCATTTTTAGAGGTGATAGAGCTTCCTTTTTGAAAATTTAGTGTTAAGGTGAACACATTTTGTTATTTCTCTAGTATTTATCCATTCTCCTGAGATTTTAACTAACTACTGGAAATCCTTAACCAATTACAAGTTTTTTCTCTTTATTTTCAAAATGATTTTGGTTGCTTTGATTAGACATTCTGTGCTGTTTTTTTTTTATCCATAGCTTTTTCTGAACTTAAAAATTTTTAATCGAAAGATAGAATCCCATTTTTAATGAACTTAAAGATGTAGCAAAATCATTGTTTCTTTTATTCATTCCTTTAGGAAATAGCTATTGCCAAAGTGAAGGGGTAGATAATATTGCATCTTGTTATATAATGGAGATGTGGTTTGCAGAGGAGTTGTTTTCTTTATAAATTAGAGTTTCAGGGGATGTCAGTGTTCACCTATGCCATTTCTCCAGTTCCAAAATGATTCTATTCCATTCTAGAAATTTGAAATATATGTAACTTGAAATCCTTAATAAAATTTGGATATAATTTTATAAAATGTACTGGTGATATTTTGGGTGTTTTTTTTTTTTTTAAATATGAATATATATACTTTTTCTTTTTTTCCTTTTTAAGAGTGGAGACTAGAGATGTCTAGAGTAGGCTATTCTGTGCTTAGGCTGCTATGACCTATAAATCTGTATTTTTAAGAACAACCTCCCAAGCCCTGCTAAGTGGAGTTTGTCATTTGAATACTTGAAAGGAATTCCATCTTTCTTGATGGGTTTTCTGAGTTACCTACAAACATTTTTGAGACACTTCAGAATTTGTCTTTACATTGTAGTTTCCACCATGCACTGACTACCAAGAAATTCTCTTTTTTACTGGAAGTGGTAAAATCTCATATAGTTGTCTATGAAGAAAAACTTTGAAAAACTAATTTAGGACTTTCACTTTATGGTCATTTAAGTATGTTAAGTGAGCAGAGAACAACAGTTTCACATATTGATTAGTTGTTTTAACATGGATGTCTGAAAGTTACATCTATGTAATACCCTAGAATTATTTAATTCACTGAAGTAGAATTAGTATCACTATTCTAGATGGTAAAACTGTCTTAATTGTATGGAATTGGTTTACAGAGTGGTACTTAAGAAAAATGGGATTCTACCTGTATTTTCTCTTTAGCTCATGAACGTGAAAGGAAACATTTGTTGTAATAGAAATATTTTCTTTATTCTGTGAATAGGTTACTGATCATGATTGGTGTGTGGTAAGGCCCATAAAATAACTGAATTCAGAGTGTTTCTGTTACTGCTGCTTGTAACAGTATGAATTTGTGGGTTTATCTAAGTTGTAGGCCATTCCTGCTATTAAAAAAAAAATAACACTTTTGAGTTACTCTTTGTGAAAACCTTATCAAGCCATGCAAAAATATTAAACTGATATTCAAATAATCTTTGAATGCTTTGGTTTCAGGGCTTGGTTTAAAACATGAGTTTTTATGGGTTGGGCTTACAGAAATTTTAGCCTTTATATTTTTAACTATTTAAATCAAGCCAAATGTTATTTTAAATGTACAGAACATATAGAGTAGATTGATAGTTTAGAAGAAGCATAAGTTCTTTGTGGGAACTTTCAAAAAGAAAATATATATGCTAATTCAGTTTTTAAAAATCTTCTGCACTGTATATATACACTTGGTAATAATGAGCTCGATTTTTGTTTTGAAAATATGTGTTCATAATTTAGGTAATTTGCTACTGAAAGCACTAAGTCTCTGCTACATGAAAAGTAAATGTAAATGATAATGGTGAGATACAATGCTGATATTAACTTAATAGGTGTATACTGGTGATTTTTGTATTCTGATTTAAAAATCTAGATATTAAAATATGACCTGGATAAAAAGCCAAGTTCTTGGACTGAATAAGGATTACTTAACATGACTTTTAGAAACACGGTTAACATCTTGTTTTGTGTACACCATTATTTAAGGATAAGCGTTTATCCATAGAAACTTTGATTGATGTACTCAGTGAATTATATTTTCAAAAAATACAGTATACTTTGTATCTTGTGTTTCTTCCATTTCACATCATAGGTTTTCCAGTTAAAATTGCTATAGACTAAAATTCATAAGTATAATAGAAATGGGGGTAACAATTTAGAAACAATGAATTGCTGGTAAGAAATTCAGTTGTCATTAATCCAGTTTAATTTTTATATTGGAAGTTGAGCATTTGTAGCTTTTGTGGATCTCTTAATTATTTGTTTTGAGTTTTAACATTTTAAAACTCAGTATAAAATGTTGCTTAAAAGTGCTTTTTAGTTTCTCATATGTTTTAAACTTAAAACTGTAAAGAAGGAACTGGGAATAAGTGATCAAAAATGCAAATGCCAGAAGACACATCTTATATCCAAAGTTAATGGCATTATTCATAATTTTATCATTTATAATGAAGTTAGGCAAGTGTGGCTGTGATAAACTTTGTGGGGTTGTAAAATAGTTTCTGCCAGAATACTCAGAACTTTTATGAGAGCTGTTATCTGAGATTTCAAGGATGAGTAGGAATTTGTGAAGTAAAGGGAGGAGCATTTTAGCAGTAAGCAGTTCAGATGGGGTTAACAGCAGGAAGTACAAGTGAAGGTCCTGAAACAATCCAGGTCACATTCAAGGAATTGAAATAAGAGATAGAAGGGGCCAATCCATGTCCTTTTAAAGGTTTAAACATTGAAAACCACCTCTAGAGTATTTCAAGTGAGGGTGACCTTTCCATGAGGGTAATTTTTAAACTAAGACATCAGCTGTTTGAAGGTAAGAATGTTTGAGGTAGGGCTCAGGGTTAGTCAAGGCCTCAAGAGTCATATGTGTTTAAATAGGTTAAATGACTGGAGTAAGGGGTGGAGAAGTGGTGAACAAGATGGTCTTGGAGAGCTGTAAAAATTTTAACCAAGAACAAAACATTTTTTTTTTTTTTTAAATAAATGGAGTGTATCCCCTTAGTTGAATTTCAGATTGGTGTTTTGGGGTAGACTTTGTCAAAATTACAACTTTGCTCTAACTCTGTATATTCTTTACTCAGATCACTGTTGACATTTGTTCAGTATTCTCATGTGCAGGCATATAGACACTTTTTTTCTACGATTCAATGGTTGCAGACATGGTGTATCATTTGCCCCTAAATGCTGTATTTTCCCAGTGTGAAGGCATTCTTTATAATCAGCACAGTTAATCAAAATCAGGATGTTTTTTTTTTTTTTTCCTTTTTGTCTTTTTTTTTTTCGTGTCCGGCAATGGATCGCAACCCTCAGTATCGCGCCCGTACCGGACCGGGACCGCCAACGGGATCGCAACCCTCGGTGTCGCGCCCGCACCTCGCCCAGCCAGTGAGCGGGAACCAGTCTGTATGTGGGATCCGAACCCTCGGTGGGAGTGCCGCCGCGCTTCCAAGCGGCGCACTGTAGCAGTGCGCCACCAGGCTGGCCCACAAAATCAGGATGTTTTAAAATGCATCACATTCATTTTAGTGCTTATACAAATTTGATCAGTAATATCTTGTGAGCTTTTGATGTGTCCAGTTTTTGAATACTTACTTTTTGGCTAAAATTTTCTAGGCTCATCATAGGCTTTTTCTATTCCAGCCCTGGAATGTGCCATTTCTCCAAGGATCCCTGGTTCCTTACAATGGGGAAATGTCATTTAGAAACTGGGTGCAGGGTGTGCTTATTCCTAGAGTGTTTCCGGGTTCTTTCAGGTGAAAGACCTAGAAAAAATATGTATCATGTTAAAAACAAAATACACACTGAATACCTTGAAGTCCAATCCAACGCAAAGACTGGAGACTTCTAGTCTTCAGTCCTATTTGTAACTACCTTCAAGTAAGTGAAATTAGCTGATCCAACTGGGAATTGTAGGTGAGGTGGTTCTATAGGAGGAATAAGAAACCATGATTAAAAATTTTAAATATCTAATTTAGAATAAAACCTTGCAGCCCCTAAACATGTCTGTACCATCAAACTTTAATGTATATATGAGAGGGTGAAGTAGTTTATACTTGGGGTAGAAGTGTGGTTAAAACACAGGCTTTGGAGTCCTACCACCTGTTTATTCAGTATCAGTGTTTCATCTGTATCATGAA